GGAACTGCAGGCTCCTTGCAACTGCGGGGCTGGCGGAGGAACACCACCTGACGCACGGCACTGGCACCGACTGACAACTTCCGTGCCGTAGCACGAGTGGGATCGAGTGGGCATGGCGGCTGCCTTCACCTCGTTGGGGTCAAACTTGGGCGCCATGGCTGCGACAGGCCACGCAACTATTCCGCTGCGAGCCAAAAGAACCCAAATTGGGATATATGAGTGACGAAGCTCCCACTCACCTTCGTAGCCTCGCAAAAAGATGTGCCTGCGCCACTGCATCTCCGCCAGGATCATGTGCACCACTCGCACATCCCGACAAGCAGACAGCAGGCTGTTGAAGGTGATGAGGTCAGCCGTCAGCCGCCTAAGCGGAACGAGGGAGCCAAGTCGGGCGGCCCGTTGAGAGAATAAGCAAAAAAACACCGAGGAGCTCGTGCTCAAGTGCCGCAAGCATTGCCAGCGCCTGCTGCCAGTCGTTGCAAGCAGCAATGCAGCTGTTGAACGTGATCAGGTTCGGCGCCAGGCGGTGCTTTCGCATATCCTCCCATGCGTCTACTGATCTACCGTGTTCACCAAGATGCTCAGATTTGCATAAATGGGTAGTTGTCAAAATTATGGTCCCTTTTGGGGTACCCTAAATAACAGATGCCGTATTATAATAAGGACCCAAAACGGGACCATAATTTTGACAACCACCCAAATGTGAAGACATCGAAGCTAACAACGCGAAGACATCTATTTTTGGTCAGGCCTTGAAGAAATGCAAAGCCTCGTCTTGGCTTTTTAAAGATTTCGAGCAGGAAGCTATGACAGTGTTGAAGCTGATGACCGTCGGAGTCACCTCACCGTCACCAGCTGAACTTGAGAAATCAAACAGGCAGTATCACAAGACGCGCATAGCCCATAGCCCTCTCAGAGATCCAAAAATGCGGCAGGCTGCTCGTCGACTGAGCATATGCCTGAAGAGCTCCTGTGCATTGTGGGGCGCGGCATCCATCAAGGAGTTGTAAGTTACTGGATCCGGCGGAACCTGTTCCAAGACCATGGACTCCAGAAGAGCAACTCCCATCGCCCAACGCTTTCCCGTCAGCGCACTCATAACAGAGTTGAAGCTGAAGGTGTCACGAGTCAGCTGTCGCTGAGGGATTTGCTCTAGCAATGTCAGAGCATGTTGCCAGCCCTCGGCTCTTGCACATGCAGCGATGGCTGTATTGCAGGTTGTAAGGTCTGGTGTTTTGGATGTGCCAAGGAGGTGCAAAGTTTGTCTCCACTGCTGGCTCCGAGAGCACGCGCCCATGACCGTGTTCACAACGATTGTCCCCATGTCCGCTTGCGCCGTTTGTGCAACTTCCAGCAAAAGGCTTGCGTGGCGCCACCGGCTGGCCTTGGAGCAGGCATTGATGGCAGCACCGAAAGCTTTGACTTCCTTAGCTGAACAGAATGGCGGTGGGCTGCGGATTCAGCTACCCAATGACGACTGGCCAGGGCAGGCATCGACTACCCCCAGTTCTTACCGTACGAAGGTGGATGATCGAAATACCATCGGGCGTCTGCGTCCACTGCACTTTCCAGCATCAGAAAAAGCAGCTCCAGCGAAGTTTGCCATTTGCCTGCTCTGGCCAGGGCAGCGATGGCTACTGCATACCTGCAGGACCAGAAGGAAGGACTCGTTCTGAAGCGCTGGTCGTTTTATATGCTCCGTATACGATGAATCTGTCACGTAACCTCATCTGTTGCTGAACCTGCATATCCTCCATATCCCTCAACATGCCTGTTGGTTTCGAGCCAGGGCCTGACGAATCATAAGGATTGCCAGCAAAGCAAACTAACTGCCGCATCGAGTGCTGTCGAGGGGTCTGGATCCAGCCATTCCGAAACAGCGCGGACACCTCATCTCTGGCACTTGCCGTTAGCTTTCTGGGTAGCGTCTGTCAAAACCCTGGCTGGCCCGAGGTGCCTCTTCCTGGCTGGCTAGACATCAGACCCGTGGCCAAGTTGCTGCTTCCGCCTGGCTCTTTGGCGTCGCAGAGCGATCACGAAGCAGCGCGGTGAGCGCCTTTGCAACATGCCAACTTTTGCCAGCTTTCTGCTTCTGCCGAGCAACATGAGCAGTTTACCACGGCCCTCGAGGCCTCCTTCTCCGAGATGGCCATTTCCGGGCACGCGCTGCAGAGATTCGCATCTCACACGCCTGGCCTGCGTGCCGGCCAAGCCGGAGCGCGGGAGCCATCATCAGCTCTGCGAGGATTCCAGATACACCAGTCCAAACTCTAGTTGCACCGTACCGGGGTACTCGTGGGTAGGGCCTGACCTGGGGTGGGGGCATAAGACATGTACTGCCATCTGCATCATCACTTTGAAAATCTTTGGAAAACCGATTACCTTCGACACTTGGGCTGCTTGCGGCTTGCTGCATGCGTGCATATGTTTCCATGTTTCCCCATGCTCCAATAACCGAGACTCCAAGAGGCATGTCTACTGCCCGGACGGTGGCCTGATTGCTGTATCTATGAAACCGGCACATGCCTATTCGGTCACACAACATTCCACTTGCTGCTCCGATGCCACGGCCACAACCAGCTGCGGCCGTGACGTTGTTCGAGCGTTTTCGTCTAGCGTGCGGCATGATCGGCCAGCTCTGATGGGAAGAACAAGCGTCTTTTGCACCGGATCCGCGCCAAGACGAAGAACGCGAGCAGAAACAAGAGGAAGAAGAAAAGGAACAGGAACGGGAACGAGAACGACCACCACCACCGAAAAACGACAACGACAACGACAACAACAACCACCAC